AATTGGGCTAGCCTTTTAAGAATACCTATAAAGGGTAGGTCTATCCAACAAGAGCAAAGGCAGAACTCTTAAAAGTCTGGTGAATCCGGTCAGGCACAGTGGCTCACACCTGTAATCCTAGCTCTTTGGGAGGCCAAGACTGGAGGATCACTTGAGGTCAGGAGTTCAAGACCAGCTTCAGCAATATTGTGAGCTCCTGCCTCTACCATACACACACACACACACACGTTGAATCAGGACTACTTAAACAAGTCTGGGTATTTAGACGACGAAAGATGCGGATGTCAGTTTCTTGTGTTGGCTTTCTATTTCTCCTATCCTTTAACTGAAAGCACTCACCTGGCCAGCCCCTGACATCCTGGGTCTCTCTCTAGTCCCTTGGAGAGCTCCTTGATTCTCCTGTTTCCAAATTTTGCCTCTGTGCTAGTGATTTTCTCTCCTTCCCAGACACCTGTCCTATGTCTCTGTGTCTGCCACTGGGGCATGGCACCATCACCTCCAGCTTAGTAGGCTGGAAAGTGAGGCTCATTTCTCTGAGAGCACCAGTTCCACTTCCCCAGATGGCTGTCGGTGGCATCACTCAGGTCTGTAACCTTGGAATCGCTGCCTCCTCTTTGGTCCTAACAAAACTCCTCTTTCCTTCCTCCCTGCCCACTCCCCAACCCATCCTTTATATCAATCCTAGACAAATCTTCCTTTGACCTGACTCTACTTCCACTACAATCCTTCCCTGTTCAGACTTTCCTACACCCAAATGAACAACTCTGTATAGGCGTCAAGGCCACAGTGGTCTTGTCTCATCCTGTCTGTTCCAACAGGTTTTCCACTACTCGAAACAGTAACAAAAGTACCTGCTGCACATATTACAAATGAGCTTCGCACACATGATCTCAATTAACCCTCACAACACTAAGTGGAAATCAAAGAGGCAAGCATTGTCCTTATTTTACAGGCACGTGGTTACACCAGAACCAGAACCCAGATCTTCAAATTTATCTGGTGCCTTCCTCTGCTCAGGCTCAGCAAACCCACAGCTCCTGAAAAGCTGTTTCCAGGCTTCATTGGATACAGAGAATAAGAAGTTCTGCCCTCATCTATACTCTTACTAGGGAAAGAACGGCTGCCCCTTGAACGAAGGCCACTGTAAACTCAGGAGTACAAAGAGCAGAAAAGGTAGGCCAACCTGCAGGGGTTCTGTAAGGGACTTGGCACTTCATCTGAACGTTGGGCAAAATTTGCAGCAGAGATACCATTTGCAAAGGGCACAGAAGGTAGATTCCCAGAGACCATGGTGGAAGGGAGCCTGCTCCTGGCAGAAGATACTGCAGCACTCTCCATCCCACTGCCCTTCTGGGCTCTCATGCAGTGATCCTAGGCAAGCCAAGCTGACCCCTTGCCCTCAAACCTCGGCTGTACTTTTGTATCATTAACGTAAAAGGATTCCTGTTCCTCTTGTGTCCCAAAAGTCACTCGTCTTCCCAGTCAGAGTTTATGCTTTTAATGGCCAGAATGAGGTCACAGTTCTAGGCTCCCAGCACACTATGGTTTTTGCCTAAACTGTGGGGCTGGTTCTGAGTTCCCCAAGTAAGTGTCACACCTTTCCCTATGTTTTGATCACTGAGATCCACCTGAAGAAGTCAACAAGTGACAGCAGCTTGTTTCCAGTCCAGAAGTTTGCTAGACAGGGTAGCTTCTCCCTCCTCAGGAGGCCCATTCTGATTCAACTGGATCAGAACATGTGGGGGATAGATATTCTCAGACACTGCTCGTGGGAGTATAACTCAGCAAAATTTGGAGGAAAATACCAAACTGAAGATGCGCTATTCTTTGATACAGCATACCATAACTATACTAGCCCATTTGCAGCACAATAAAACAAAGAAACAATCAACATTTCCAAGTTAGGCAATGATTAAATCGCAATGGCTGAGACACAGTAACTGGGAAAACAAGGTACAGACAGTATACATAGTGTCCCATATTTCTGCCCAAAATATTTCTGGGAAGCCACACAAGGAAATGGTGGTAGTGGTGGCCTCAGGGAAGAGGAAATGGGTAGGTAGCTAGGGGACAGGATTGGAAGGGAGACCTGGCTTTTCACCTTTTTTCACAATGTGCATGCATAACTTTTTTAAAAATTAGCAGAAAAACAATAGATGCTGGCGAGGATGCAGAGAAAAGAGAACACTCCTAAACTGTTGGTGAGAGTACAAACTAGTTCAACCTCTATAAAAAAAAGTGTGGTAATTTTTAAAAGAACTAGAAATTGACCCTCCATATGACCCAGCAATCCCCCCTAGGAATTTACCTGGAGGAACTCAAATTATTCTACAAAAAAGATATTTGGACATGCATGTTTATTGCAGCACTATTCACAATAGCAAAAACATGGGACCAACCCTGCTGCCCATTGAAAATGGACTGGATAGACGGGCTCCGTGGCTCAGCCTGTAATCCCAGCACTTTGGGAGGCTGAGGTGAGTGGATTGCCTGAGCCCGCGGGTTCGAGACTCGCCTGGGCAACTTGGCGAGACCTCATCTCTACAATAAATCAAAACTAGCCAGGTGTGGTAGTGCACGCCTGTAGTTCCAGCTACTTGGAAGGCTGAGGCAGAAGGATCGCTGGAGCCCAGCAGGTCGAGGCTGCAGTGTCCAGGAGCATGCCACTGCACTCCAGTCTGGGCAACAGAGTGAGACTCCAACTCAAAAAAAAAAGAAAAAAAAAGGAAGAAAATGGACTGGATAAAGAAAATGTGGTACACACACAAAATGGAGAATTATGCAGCCATAAAGGACAAAATTATGGACTTCATAGCAACTTAGATGGATTTAAAGTCCATCAAACTCAGTGATAGTGAGTCCTGAACATTCATCATACTATGAGAGAGGGATTGGCAGTAGCGGGACACTGCCAGGGGGGCACATAACATCTCTCAGTATATCTGATCCTAAACCAGGAAAAGTGAGGAACAGTTGGCGGCCCAAACTTCACCTGCATGTAGACTACGTATGTGCCTACTCCTGACTTGTACTTCACATCTTTACAATAAAATACAGAAAAAAAAAATTAGAGATGAAGTCTCACTATATTATCCAGGCTAGACTTGAACTCCTGAACTCAAGTGATCCTCTTACCTCAGCCTTCCAAGTAGCTGGGACTAGAGGTGCACGCCACCATGCCTGGCAACTAGTAACTTTTTAAAAAATAAGTCTTCATCATTGCGGCAAAAACCGCCTTTAAAAACCTAGACAATATTTGTCTTTCTGTGCCTGGCTTACAGTCTACTAGTGGCTTGGGTCTATACGTTGCTACAAATGACATGATCTCATTCTTTTTTATGGCCAAATAGTATTCCATTGTGTACATATACTACACACCATATTTTCTTTATCAATTTGTCCATCAATGGATACCCAAGCTGATTCCTTCTCTTTGCTATTGTAAACAGCTACAATAAACATGGAGGTACAGGTATCCCTTGATATACTGATTTCCTTTCCTTTGGAAAAATAATCGGTGGGATTGCTGGATCACATGGTAGTTCTATTTTTAGTTTTTTGAGAAATCTCATGAAGGCAGAGTAGAATGATAGATACCAGAGACTGAGAAGGGTGTGTGATTGTGGATTGAAAGTCATCAGTGGGTACAAATATACAGTTAGACAGAAGGAGTATGTTCTAATGCTAGATAGCAGAGAAGGGTTAACTACAGCTAACAACACTGTATTCTGTATTTTAAAATACCCCAAAGAGAGAATTTGAAATGTTCCCAACACATAAATACTCAGGGTGATGGGTACCCTAAGTACCCTGACTTGATCATTACACATTCTGTGTTTGTAACACTTGCACCCCATAAATATGTACAAATAATATGCATCAATAAAAAATAAACCCAGATATCAAAATATTAATAAAGAGAATAGAAAAAAAAAAAGAAAAAATAGATTTTAAAACCTTATAGAAATATAAGGTTTAGAGAGATAACAGGTGACCCCAGTTGTTCCTCTGAGAAGAGAACTATCTTCATCACCTGCTTGTCAAGTCCTCTTCCCAAGATATGGTCCAATATTTGATACCCTATGGTTGTGTAATGTCTTTGAATGGATGAAATATACTTCCTTGCCTAAAAGAAAAGTATTCTCCAAAAACAAGGACTTGTAAACAGTGATGGGGGAGGGGAGCAGCATGCCTGAGAACTGCCTACCCTCATGTACTCATTCACCTGCCTGAATCGAGCAACATGCGCAAGTATGTGGACCATGCACAGGCTGGGAGATGTGGACCCTGCCTCCCAGTCTATCAGGAGAGAAGAGACCTTACACAAAGAACAAGTGGGTAAAAAGCTACATGAATTTTACAATAAGGAATTTCTGAAGCAGTTTATTACTAGTATCTGAAAACCACTGGCCTGATCACAAATACAAAACCGTCAATCTCAGAGGATGCTTACATTTATTTAGTAAAGCAGAAAAATGAGAAGGCAGGACAGTTGATAAGGATTTGTAAGTAGGCCTTGGCCCCGGAGAGGCAGGTGGATACTGGTAGAGATCATCCTTTTAGTCCACTGCCTCTCCTCTTGGCAATGTGAATTCAGTCTTGAGCAGGACGTAATCTTTGATTCATTTAACAAATACTGAGGAGCCTCCTATGTGTCAGCTTACATGAATCATCTCCAGCACACTCAATCCATATCAGTAAATAAGAGATTAAAGTTTTGGTTCTGGTATCTGTCCATCAGCAATGACAGGTC